ATCCAAGGTAGGGCAGACGATTTGATGATTCGAATGTCGTCTTTGGCTTGAACCGTGACCGGCTTGTCGCCTACACTGTCGCCGTCATCTCTAAAAGAGAGAAGGTCGGTCGGAGCGACGCGATGGTCTTTCGACTCTTTATTCTTCGATTTTTGCATTTTTTATTGGTGGTTACAACGCCTTTAGGTTGTCCGATAACCGGGCTAACCTAGGGGCGAGGTTTTCAAAAGTATCCCTGAGTTGTCTGATAACCGGGCTAGCCCAGGGATTTATTTAGTTGGGTTCTATGGAGTCGCCACCGATATTTTTACCATAAACATCGGAAAAGGGGTTTAAAAAGGCGTTGGTTTTCGAAAACCAACTTTGGTCATTAGAACCAGAGTTGGGTAAGGGAGTTAGTTACGTGTAAAGGAAGTGTTAGTTCCTTTACAACGCCCTTTCGGGTTCCCTATGATGGGCTGGCTAATTTGAATAAATAATTAAACTGGAAAATAGCGCTTTTACCCTTTTATTATGCGGTATTTAAATTTATGACTACATGACCCTAGCTTCTATTGCGTAATTTAAATGGCGGTAAAATAAATAGAGAGGAAGAATATGCACCTCCAAAGCAAGCTTTTATATTTCTTTAAAGAGAGGGTGCGTTTTGGCAACCCTTCACTCTACAAACTCTCAGAAAACTCCGGAAATGCGTCGGAGGGATCCTAGAGAAGATTTAGAACGCTCAAAAATGCTCCTAAAGACACTCAGAAACTCCGGAAATGCTTCGGAGGGATTCTTAGAGAGAGAAATTCTAGAGAGAAGGGAGAGCTCTGTGTATTCTGTGTGGAAATGAGGGGGGGAGAGCCCCTATTTATAGTTTTTCGCGCCTGACAGGTCGAGACCGCCGTCTCGTCTGACAGGGGTCGAGACCGCCGTCTGGAAAGTCGAGACCGCCGTCTCGTCCATGGCAGAAATCGAGACCGCCGTCTGGAAAATCCAGACCGCCGTCTCGACGAGACTGCCGTCTGGAAAACTGAGACGGCGGTCTCGACCTGGCGCTGAGACGAGACGGCGGTCTGGTCCTTCCAGACGGCGGTCTGGTCCCTTCAGGGCGAGAAACTTTATTTTCGGGCCAAAAAACCTTCTTATCTTGGTACGGGAACCTAATAGCCTCTCCTAATGACTTGTTAAGCTTCAGCCGTCTTCAGAATAGGATGCTTTCTGACTTTATTCTGAGGTCGGGCAAGATTTGGGGTCTACAGCTGCCCCCCCTTTACCCGACCAATCGATTGCTGGCCTCTTGTGCCGAGGTGATCGACTGGTGGGTAAAGGAGTTGACCCTCTTGCCCGGTTACCCTTCAGATACTCCGTCATTGCGGCGGATGATCTTCTGGGGAGATGTTGTGTTGTGCGCTTCTGGGATGCTTCTTCGACGCGGTAGCTGACCCCTTCGGCTGATGAGTACGAACCCCCATCTGGTTTGACGACTACTAACCCCCGCCTGGTAAGCCCCCTTTTGTAAGGCTTGATGAGTTTACACCCCCATCTGATGTTTGACCTCTGGATGCTCCTTCGACGCGGTAGCTGATCCTTTGGTTGACGAGTACGAACCCCTCGTCCGGTTTGACGAGTACTAACCCCCGCCCGGTAAGCCCCCTTTTGTAAGGCTTGATGAGTTTACACCCCCATCTGGTGTTTGACCTCCGGATGCTCCTTCGACGCGATAGCTGATCCTTTGGCCGTGGTGGCGGCTTACTGATTCTGACCATGCGCCGTTGTTGAGATGTGTTTTCTTTTGTTTTTGTTTGTCTTTTTCTGGGAATTGTCATCCGGTTTGTGCCGGGGATTCTTTGACTTTTGATTTTTCTTGTGGTGATCACCCAACTCTTGCTGGTTGGTTAGGTGATTTTGGCTTTTCCTGATAGCCATCCAGCTTGTTGTTTGCTGGGGATTCTTTATTTTTGATCATTTGGTATTTGTCATCCGACTTTGCCGGTTGTCGGGGATTTCTGATGGGTGCCTCTTAGGTAGGCATGAATCCTCTGGGGATTTGTTGATCTTGGTGAGGCCTCTTAAGTAGGCAGATGTCCATTGAGAAATTTGTTGATTTTGAGGGTGCCTCTGAGTAGGCAAATACTCCATTGAGTTTCTGGTAATGCCTCTGAGTAGGCGGATGCTTCATTTGGAGACTTTTGGTTTCGCTTCTTTGCCTCTGAATAGGCTAATGTTGCTTTTTTGCTTGCAAGGTTTTGCCTATGCGTTCCACTAGGGATGTCCATATTAGGTGATATAGGCAAGTAACTTTCTGGGGATATGCGTTTGAAGTTTTGCCTTTTCAATAGGCTCACTGGGGATGATCTTTCTTTTTGATTGATCCACCGGGGAATTGGTTTCCTTCCCGGGGATCTAATTTTGGTCGCCCTTTGGGGAATGGAGTTGTGACTCCTTGTTTGGTGTTGATGAGAGCTGGTTTCTTCAAGCTCTTATTCCTCTGGGGAAATGGAGTTTTTTTTTTTTTTTTACTGTGCCTCTGAGTAGGCGGATGCTTCATTAGTGGTGAAGACTTTATACTTGCTTGCCTCCGAATAGGTTGATGTCCCTTTCTGGGGAAATTGGCTCTCGCTCGCCAGATCTTGCCTACGCCTAGGCAAATCACTCTTCTAAGGATGTGAGTCTGGAATTTGCCTTTGTCGTAGGCTCACTGGAGATGATCTTTCTTTTTGATTGATCCACCGGGGAATTGGTTGCCTTCCCGGGGATCAGATTTTGATTTGCCCCTTGAGGGGATGGAGTTTTGACTCCTTGTTGGATGTTGATGGTATGAGATGGCTTTGCCGATACTCTTGTTCTGTTGGGGGAATGGAATTTCTGATTCCTCTTTTTTCGTTGATTTTCCCTTTTTCTGAGGTGACCCACTTTAGGGATTTGATTTCCTGGAAGTTAGGATTTTTATTTGATTTTGCCTTTTTCCACGATTTATCTCTTTTTTATCGCGATTTTGAAATCTGGCTTTTTTATGGGGATAATGCGTAAGCCTTTTTACTTTTTAGTCTCTTTTTATTACGCTGGCTTTTTCCTTTCTTTTTGGGGAAGGTCCACTAGGGATGACGTTTTATTTCTTTAGTGATCCATATGCCTTAGACAATAGCTTCAGTATCTTCTTGAAAGCCTATGTTTTAAGGGTACCATACCCATCTTAATGTGTTAACTTCCTTTTTTCAAAGGTTGCCAACATACCTTAGCGTACTTTTGCTATTGTCTAAGGATATCTAATACATCCTAGAATGAATGTGCTTTATGCATGCACTACAAAAATATTTTTTATGACAGCATATATTGAAAGTGGAATAACTTTTGACTCGGTTGTCCGATTTTGGACGCACAGCATGTCAAAACAAAGAGAAAAGGGTGAAGAACAAGGTCGCAAATTCCCTAGGGGGATTTGGCCCAGTAATTTTCCCAAAAAATGCTCCTAACACCTATTTTTTGGAGGTTTATTAAAATGATGTGCATGCTGCAATTATTTTCTCTCTTAGTTTTACCACTTATTGGATGATATGGTATGAATGATACGACTTTGTCGAAAAATCTTTTTATTATAAAAGGCATTTTTATTGCTTTAATTGTTTTTATATTTTTTTATGACCCTTTATCTCTTCTGTCGGTCAACGTGGCTACTTAGCTTACAAAGAACCTGAAACCAGGCTAGCTTAATCTGAAGACTGTCTGAGATAAAGTTGGCTTATCTTATCACTTTTATGATTTTTAGGGTTTTTCGGTATTTTGTTTGTTGCATGATTACCCTATGTTAATGCATCAATACAAATGCAGCAAACGAATGCACACACAATTCATACATCCACGAGCAGAGCCACGCTTATTTAACCACGAGCAGGGGTTTTCCTGCGAAACGTGCTTGGTTTAGGTGGTTCTAAACTGTTCTCACCAAGGCCAAAGGTCCCCAAGGTGCCACCATTATAGGGACCTCTCAATCTCTCAGTCCTCGGGTCATGCACGGAACTCCGTGGCGACATCCTTAGACCAAAAGAAGAGAGTTATCACCTTGAGTTGGTGGTTTCCGACAACGGTTGTAGCCCCGTGTGCCAACAAGCCAGCTCATATCTGCCACCCACTCCCTATAGGTATTCACTCTTGCCCCGGGTATAGAGGGACCGTTGTGTGCAAGGGTTTTTGTGTGCAATTTATATTTCGGACAATTTGCGAGAAAATAATCATACGAGCAATTTATTAAAGCCATACAATAAAACATACGGAAGAGGGTAAAGGCGTAATTTCAAATCTTTACTTAGTTTGAATTTATCCGT